TCTGGGGGTCCTGTCCTTGCTCGCTACTCCACTGTCCTCCCGTGTCCGGCGGCCCCGTCTGGCTCCCTGTCTGGTCTCTACCTCCCCTCGTTCTCCACGAACTTGGTGAGTGGTGCTGACCTTCAGGATGCCGGAGTTGACCAGTTCACTCCTGCAGGGCAGCGAGTGACCCACTGCACGTGTGCTCAGACGGGCCGCCACTTGGCCTCGTTTACCCGTCGACAGAGGTCGAGCCTGTACACACTGACCACAGAGTCTCCTCCGGTTGCTGCGTCTGGTCAGGTAGCTGCGTCGAGTCAGGTGTTTGCTGCAGCGTCTCGGTCAGGTCCTGAGTCTGCCCCCTGCTCGTGTCGCCTCCTGTCCCACCAGACCCTCCTCTGGCACCACCGCCTTGGTCACCCCTCCTTGCCTCGTCTCCGAGGCATGGCCTCCCGTGTCCTTGTCTCTGGTCTCCCCCGGTCCCTCCCTCCCCTTCCCCCGGGACCTGCCCCTACCTGCGTTCCCTGCGTCGAGGGGCGGCAGCGCGCCGCTCCTCACTCCTCCGAGTTTCCCCCGACGGAGGCTCCGCTGCAGACTCTTCACATGGACGTGTGGGGCCCAGCCCGCGTCCGTGGACAGGGTCACGAGCGTTACTTCCTGCTGGTGGTTGACGACTACTCGCGTTACACCACTGTCTTCCCCTTGCGCAGCAAGGGTGAGGTCACTGAGGTGTTGATCGACTGGATCCGCGTAGCTCGTCTCCAGCTCAGAGAGCGTTTCAGCTCGGACTTTCCTGTTCTGCGTCTGCACTCCGACAGAGGCGGAGAGTTTTCCTCCGACCTTCTGCGAGCCTTCTGTCGTGCGGAGGGCATCCGCCAGACGTTCACGCTTCCAGCCTCTCCACAGCAAAATGGGATTGCTGAGCGCCGCATTGGCATGGTCATGGATGTCGCTCGTACGTCCATGATCCATGCGGCTGCTCCCCATTTTCTGTGGCCGTTCGCGGTTCAGTACGCGGCGCATCAGATCAACCTTCAGCCCCGGGTCTCCCTGCCGGAGACCTCCCCTACTCTGCGGTGGACGGGGAAGGTTGGTGATGCGTCTGCGTTCCGTGTCTGGGGATCTCGAGCTTTCGTCCGAGACTTGTCTGCGGACAAGCTGTCCTCCCGTGCTGTTCCTTGCGTCTTCCTCGGCTTTCCCCCTGACGCGCCTGGTTGGCAGTTTTACCACCCCACCTCACGTCGTGTTCTGTCCTCCCAGGACGTCACGTTTGACGAGTCGGTTCCGTACTACCGTCTCTTCCCCTACCGCACTGCCCCCCTCCCCCCCCCGCCGCTCTTCCTCGCTCCCGGTCCCCCCCCGGTAGACCCCCTCCCCCCTCAGGGTCGTGCCCCCTCAGGTGTGTCCAAGGTAGATGCAGTCGAGCCTGTCGAGGTAGCTGCTGACTCTGGTGCGTCTGGGGGTGCTGAGCCTGAGCGTGCGGAGCCTGGGGGTGCTGGGTCTGGGGGTGCTGAGCCTGAGCGTGCGGAGCCTGGGGGTGCTGGGTCTGGGGGTGCTGAGCCTGAGCTTGAGGGGCCTGGGGGTGCTGCTTCTGGGGGTGCTGAGCCTGGGGCTTCTGGGAGTGGGGGTGTAGAGCCTGTCGGTGCTGGACCTGGCGGTCCTTCGGGTGCTTTGTCCCGGCGGGAGCTTCCCTCTCCACACGAGCTGCGCGAGTTGTTTGCTCGCCGCTGGAGCCGTGCTGCTGGAGCTGGAGGTGCTGCCGATGCTGGAGGTTCTGCTGCTGCTGGAGGTTCTGGAGCTGGAGGTGCTGCTGGAGCCGGTACTGGAGGTTCTGCTTCTGCTGGGGGTGCTGGAGCCACGGGTCCCGGAGGTGCTCGTACTGGAGGTACTGGAGCTGCTGGGCCTGGTGGTGCTCCTGGTGCTGGAGCTACTGGTGGAGCTGGAGCTGGTGGTGCTGCTGGAGTGGGTGCTACTGGAGGTACTGGAGCCGGAGCGGCTGTGTCTGCTGGTGGTCCAGCTGGAGCTGGAGCTGCTGGAGGTACTGGAGCTGGTGGTGCTGCTGGAGTTGGAGCTGACGCTGGGGGTACTGGTGTTGTCCCTGCTGGTTCTGGAGGTGCTGCGCGGCCGCGGCCGTACTTCGTTCCGCTCCTTGAGCAGATTCTTGGTCTTCCGCCTTCTACTAGTCCTGCTCCTTCCTTAGAGTGTCCTCCGCCTATCCAGTCCGAGTCACAGTTACAGCTGGTCTCCCCTCTGCCTGCTCCTTCTCCCTACGCTGGTCCTACTGGAGGTCTTGCTGAGCGTCGTGACCCTGAGTCGCGTCCTGCGTCGCCTATTCACACTGCTCGCACTAGTCGTCGTGTTCCACGTCCGCGTCCTCCTGCAGTCCCGGGCACGCATCAGATGGCACTGCGTCCTTCCACTGCGCCACAGCGTGTCCCTTTGCCGTCTCCTCCAGAGTCCTCTCTTCCTGCTCTTGCTGACCCGGCGTCTGACTCCCTTCGTGCTGCCAGTCCTACTGTCACGCGTTTCCTAGCCACTGTTGTCACTGACCCTTCCTTTGAGTCCACTGCTGCGTCTGCCTTAGTTACCGAGCTTGTCGACTTCGCTGCTCACTGTCGTCTAGACTACGCCGCTAGTCTTGTTGCTGAGTCTGCGTCTGTCTGTCCTCCGTCCGTCGGGGGTGAGTGTGCTCTTAGCACGGACGTCCTTGAGGACCGCCAGGAGGAGTTCCAGTGTTTTGCTGCTGCTTTACCTCATCTCGTGTCCACGCTGCTTGCCCCTGAGGGAGACCCGGATGCACCAGACATCCCGACCCCGCGCTCTTACGCAGAGGCGATAGAGGGTCCTTACTCCTCTCAGTGGCAGGCAGCCATGGACGCAGAGATGGCTTCCTGGAAGTCCACAGGCACCTACGTCGACGAGGTTCCCCCACCTGGGGCGAACATCGTCAGTGGCATGTGGATTTTCAGGGTGAAGCGGCCGCCGGGTTCTCCGCCTGTCTTCAAGGCGCGTTACGTGGCTCAAGGCTTCAGTCAGCGGCAGGGAGTTGACTACTTTCAGACCTTCTCCCCGACCCCGAAGATGACCACTCTTCGGGTTCTGCTGCATGTTGCTGCTCAGCGTGACTACGAGCTTCACTCCCTTGACTTCAGCACTGCTTTCCTACAGGGCAGTCTGCACGAGGAGATCTGGCTGCGCCGCCCACCTGGCTTCACTGGGTCGTTTCCTGCAGGTACCCAGTGGAGCCTCCAGCGGCCAGTCTACGGTCTCCGCCAGGCGCCACGTGAGTGGCACGACATACTGAGGACTACGCTTGCGGCTCTTGGGTTTGCTCCTTCCACTGCTGACCCGTCGCTGTTTCTTCGCACCGACACTTTGCTGCCGCCGTTCTACATCCTCGTGTACGTCGACGACTTGGTGTTTGCTACAGCTGACACTGCTGGACTCGCCCACGTGAAGTCCGAGCTGCAGAAGAGACACACGTGCACAGACCTGGGTGAACTGCGCAGCTATCTTGGCTTGCAGATCACCCGGGACAGAGCACGGCGCACCATTACCCTGACTCAGTCACACATGGTGCAGCAGGTCCTTCAGCGCTTCGACTTCACGTACTCCTCGCCTCAGGCCACTCCTCTGTCTACTCGCCACTCGCTCTCAGCTCTGCCTTCGGATGAGTCCGTAGAGCCGAGTGGCCCGTACCCAGAGCTTGTTGGCTGCCTCATGTACCTGATGACCTGCACTCGACCTGACCTTGCATACCCTCTTAGCATCTTGGCACGCTATGTTGCTCCTGGGAGACACCGACCAGAGCACATGGCTGCAGCGAAGAGGGTGTTGCGCTACTTGTGCAGTACTTCGGGCTTGGGGCTAGTGCTTGGAGGGCGGAGTCCAGTGGTCCTCACTGGTCACGCAGACGCGTCTTGGGTTGACGACCTGGCTACTCAGCGGTCGTCACAGGGTTACACCTTCAGCCTTGGTTCCGGCTCTGTTTCGTGGCGGTCTACTCGCTCGTCTTCTGTTCTCAGCTCCAGCTGTGAGGCTGAGATCTACGCAGGGGCCATGGCTGCACAGGAGTTACGCTGGCTCACCTACTTGCTGACTGACCTGGGAGAGCCGCCTCGTTCTCCTCCAGTTCTGTACGTAGACAACAAGGCTATGCTGGCCTTGTGTCGGGAGCACAGACTGGAGCACAGAACGAAGCACATTGCTCTTCGCTACTTCCTTGCTCGTGAGCTGCAGCAGCGTGGTCAGCTGCGCCTTGCTTACGTGGCCTCTCAGGCCAACACTGCTGATATCTTTACCAAGGCACTTCAGCCTTGTGATCATCAGCGCTTCTGTACTATGCTAGGTCTTGTGCCTACTTGGCCTCACTTGCTTACCTCTTGACTTTCCTTGTACTGTGATCTATTTATACCTGCACTTGCTTGTTTACCTTTATATATGAACTTGCATGTGAACTGGCCTTGTGGCCTTTGAACCGGTGCTCAGACTGTGTGGTGACGTTGTGATCCACCCTGAGCTTGCTTTGCTTTGCTTTGCTTGACTGGTCTTGTGACCCCTAGTTCTCCCCCACTTTGCCTATGGGGGTGTGTCAGATGTATATGCCTTAGCCTATGTAGGCTGTAGTGGGGTAGACACTAAGGGGCACAGGTTTCATATTTGTATCTCACACTTTCCTAGTTCATTCATTCCTGTTTAAATTCTTCACAGTATATCCGGGGTATGACGGTATAAGTTTGACAAAAGGCAGCGCGACAGCAAGGACAAATAATTGACTCGTTATTGAACAGTTACCCGAGTCGTCGCTGTATCTCTTTGCTTTTATCAATTCATCTTGTTCTCACATACTAGTACAAGGTGGTTCACTCAATCCACTATTACGCTTCTGCTAAATACATCACTACTCTGAGAGTTTAGTCTTGAACGATCCTAAGGACTTTTTCAGCCCAACAAAAGATTCACTGCAAAGGGGTGAATGTGATGCGGTACAAAGAGTCTGTTGGTGTTCTGTTCACACAGCCCTACAAAACTACTGCCGATGTCTCAGCAGGGGAGACAGCCACTCTCAGCTGCTCCCAGCACCACCAGGCACTGCTGTGCCTCTCCCCAGTGCGGGCCTGCTGCTGCTCCTCATGCCACGCCTGGCACATGATGGCCCCGGTACGGCAGCACATTGTCTCCCTTTCTTCTTGCACACTGCATGCAGCAGCACCACCACCCACACTGCCATTCGGCACTCCCACTGTACTACTGCCCCCACTTCCCCCACTGTCCCTCCTGCCATCCTCCGATTCAACAGCCTCGCTCGGCGCTCCATAGCGTGCACTGGGACAGCTGGCGACTCTTGGTTGGAGGGCTGTGAGGAGTGAGCGCAGCCAGGGGTGGTGCAGGTGGGGGAATGGTGAGACTGGAGCAGACAGCAAGAAGGATGGGACGGAGAACCTGCAGTGGGGGTCCGGGGGGAGACGGGAGGTGGGTGGAAGGCGGGTGGGGAGAGGTGGGAAAGAAATAGGGGTGGGAAAGAGAGGGATGTGAAGGAGAGAGTGCTCGATGGTGTGAGTCCTTTGGGTGCTGGTGGTGATGCATGTGGTTCTGGTGCTGGGGCCAGCTGTTTGGCAGTGCTACTGCAACAAGTGAGTGTGCAAGTGAATGGGTCACACACGAGCGCAAACGCAACATAGAGCAGGCAGACTCCACACACGCACGGAACAGCCATGCATGCCATAAGACTCGGTGCGCACTCAGCGGGCTGGCTTTGAGGCGCCTCAAAACTAGTGCCCATGCAGCATAGAGGAGGCAGCTACACACATGCACGGAATTGAACAGCCATGCATGCCTAAAGACTCGGTGCTTGGTGAATGGGGTGTGGGTTGAAGATTCAGGCGGCGACCTCACCTGAGCAGCTCGTGTGTGTGGGTGTTGGTGGGAAGGAGGGAGCCATGCTGCTGTGAATCATGCGGCCTTGACCCTTCGATGCCTTTCTCCCCTGCACTACTGTTGTGGGGGACCGAGCAACGACTCAATAGATGCGGTGCAGTGCGGTGGCATGCGGTGGCAGGCATCATGATGGGAGGAGCTCACATAGGATAGGAGTTATACGATGCCATGCAGTGGGATGGGTGTGGTTCCCGGTAACAAAGGGAGCACATCATGCCATGTCACATCATGCCATGTCACATCATGCCATGTCACATCATGCCACGTCACATCATGCCATGTCACATCATGCCATGTCACATCATGCCATGTCACATCATGCCACGTCACATCATGCCATGTCACATCATGCCATGTCACATCATGCCATGTCACATCATGCCATGTCACATCATGCCACGTCACATCATGCCACGTCACATCATGCCATGTCACATCATGCCATGTCACATCATGCCATGTCACATCATGCCATGTCACATCATGCCATGTCACATCATGCCATGTCACATCATGCCATGTCACATCATGCCATGTCACATCATGCCATGTCACATCATGCCATGTCACATCATGCCATGTCACATCATGCCATGTCTCATCATGCCATGTCTCATCATGCCATGTCTCATCATGCCATGTCTCATCATGCCATGTCTCATCATGCCACGGAGTACAGCAGTACACGTCACGCACCAGGCAGCGGAGACAGAGAGCACGGAGAGCGGTGTGGCAGCAAGGCAGCGACCCATGGCTTCACCGGGCGGCACTGCTGGCTGATCTGAGGGGAACGGCTGAGGTGAGGAGTGCAGGGGGGGCAGGGCGGGCAGCAGATACACCACGGGGTAGCCCAACAGCCAGCTGGGGGGGGAAAGAGGGGAGGGCACATGCATGATGAGAGATGGGGAGGCAGGGATGGTACGGGACATACAGAAGGTGAGGGGAGTTGACTTGAGGGAGGGTAACGGGGAGAGGTGGTGATCAGCACCGAAAGAGTCTGATGGCAGTGCTGGTGTTGAGAAGCAAGAAAAAAAAACAATTTTTGCAGCGAAGCAACCTGGCCGTGTGGAGGAAAAAGACACTGGATGTAATTTAACTGGCTTGCAAAAACACCTATGCGCGGCCGTGGGGGTGGGTGAGGGGCACGTGGGCGCGTACGGGTGCATGTGCACGTGTGTGCGTGCGTGTGTGTGGGTGTGTGTTTGTTAGTGGGAGGGTGGGGGAAGAGCGGTATTTGCGGCACTAGCACTCACCCATTAACAGTGGGCAGGGCCACATGGCATGCCCTCAACGCGGCATCACCCTGCATCACCACCACTGCTCCTCTGCCGCTCCCCGTCGCCCTCCCAACACCACAATCACCGCCCCTGCCTTCTCCATCCTTCCCACCTCCTCCTGTTCCGCTACGACATCCATTAGCCCCATGCAACCTCTCCCGTTCCTCCTGCTGCTGCTGCAGCTGCTGCTGGTGCCATCGCCTGGCCTTTCTCCTGGGCTTGCCAACTCGTACAAACCCATCATCGTCTGCACGCTCTCCGCCCCCTGGTTCCTCCACCCTCTCGTGCCCTCCTCTCCCCTCCTCTGCCGCCGCTGCTGCCGCTGTTTCCCGAGCACCCTGCTGCTGCTGCAGCGGTGGTGGGTGAGAGGGGTGTGTGGGTGTGGTGGCGAGAGCGATGGGTGGGGACACGAGGCTATGGACGAAGGAGAGGAGATGGGAGAGAATTGTCTGGGCGTCAGTGGGAGGCACCACCTGCACGTGTGATGGCATGTGCACATGCGCATGGTGATGGCACACATGTGCGCACACAGAGAGAAAGTGGAAGGAATCACAGAGTGGTCTTGTGGGAATAGGTTGGCAAACAGGGGGTGCATGGGCATACGGATGTCCGTGAATGGCATGGCAGGTTGTATGGGGCATGCGAGGTGGGAGCATGACAAGAGTGGGTTGAACCATGTCAAGAGGTGCGCGACACCATGCACCAGATGTACAGCATGCACTGGCCCTGACCTGCTGCTTGCCGCCCACTGCCCAAGACACTCTTATAGTCCCTCCCTCCCCACGCCTTCCGCCATGCCTGGCCCCATGCCTGGCCCCATGCCTGGTCCCATGCCTGGCCCCATGCCTGGCCCCATGCCTGGCCCCATGCCTGGACCCATGCCTGGCCCCATGTCTGGCCCCATGCCTGGCCCCATGCCTGGTCCCATGCCTGGCCCCATGTCTGGCCCCATGCCTTCCGCCATGCCTGGCCCCATGCCTGGCCCCATGCCTGGCCTCATGTCTGGCCCCATGTCTGGCCCCATGCCTGGCCCCATGCCTGGCCCCATGCCTGGCCCTATGCCTGGCCCCATGCCTGGCCCCATGCCTGGCCCCATGCCTGGCCCCATGCCAGGCCCCATGCCTGGCCCCATGCCTGGCCCCATGCCTGGCCCATGCCTGGCCCCATGCCTGGCCCCATGCCTGGCCCCATGCCTGGCCCCATGCCTGGCCCCATGCCTGGCCCCATGCCTGGCCCCATGCCTGGCCCCATGCCTGGCCCCATGCCTGGCCCCATGCCTGGTCCCATGCCTGGCCATGCCTGGCCCCATGTCTGGCCCCATGCCTGGCCCCATGTCTGGCCCCATGTCTGGCCCCATGCCTGGCCCCATGCCTGGCCCCATGCCTGGCCCTATGCCTGGCCCCATGCCTGGCCCCATGCCTGGCCCCATGCCTGGCCCCATGCCTGGCCCCATGCCTGGCCCCATGCCTGGCCCCATGCCTGGCCCCATGCCTGGCCCCATGCCTGGCCCCATGCCTGGCCCTATGCCTGGCCCCATGCCCATCATCCAAGATGCACACGGTTCACCTGCAGGGTGGCATTGCGGCATGCAAGCAGCAGGGGCGGCATGCAGGGCAGCACGGGCAAGAGGCCACCCAGTGCCGTGCATGCTGCCATGCTTGGCACGGTGCGATCAGACACTGCTGGCAACCGCACTGGCAGTGGTGACAGCGACGGAGGAGGCAAGGAGGCAGCTTGCAGTGCGGGCTCCACTGCTGCACTAGCGCGTGCCTCGCCCTCCATCTGTGCGGCCAGCCAGTGCAGTGCACTCACGCGCACCAGGTAGCACGCCCCGCCCATCTCCACCACGCCCACGTCCCCTGCTGCTGCTGCCACTGCCGCATCGCACAGCGGGAAGGGGTGAGGGGGAGAGTGCGGGGTGCAGGGCGAGGAGGGGTTGGGCGCTGAGGAGGTGGGTGGAGGGTGGGCGGTTGAGGGAGCAGCAGAGGTGGAGGATGGGGAGAGTGGGTGTGGTGGGTGATGGTGCTGGTGGCTTGGAAAAGCGGGGCAGGGGGCTGAGAGGAGAGGCGATAAGTCCTGCAGCAGAGCAGGAATGATCAAAGGAAGAGGGAGATGGGAGGAGGGAAGGGAGGAGAGTGGGACTAGTAAGGGGAAATGCGGACAAGGCTCAGCGTGCTGTAGGCATGAAGAAGGAGAGAGGAGTGGGGGGCAGAGGTGTATGGTGCATGGTGCATGGTGCTTGCTTGGTACATGGAGAATGCGAGGATGCGAGGATGCGAGGATGCGAGTAAGCGAGTGGCATACCTGGTTGAGGTGTGTGAGCAGAGCAGCAAGGTCATGCGAGGAGGGGCAGCAGTAGTCCAGCAGCACACAGCAGCGCAGCCCATGGCACAGACTCAGCACGTCTGCATGCACACACCACGCACCACACGGCACAAGGCACAAGAAACAGGCAGCTTCTGGCTACTCTGGAACAAAGTGTGGCGTGGCGTGTGGTCGTGAGAATGCAACGTGCCATGCAAGCACGGCAGCAGCAGCAGCGCAGCAAGTCTCTGGAGGGGATGCTCTTCGCATGGCGCTGCACACGCCCTCTTGCTGCTGCTGACTCAGCATCGGATGCTACTCCCGAACCACTCGCGCTCTACCGCCTCTCGCGCTCACTCTGGAGATTCGTCGCTGCACACCCACCGTATCCCAGTCGCTCCCGCGCCCCGCGCGACAGCCCCGCCCGTGATCCCCGCACCGCTGCCAGCACGCGACGCGACGCCTCCATATCCAGCTCCGCGTTCTGCGGCGGCGGCTGTCAGCGGCGCTGAGCCCGCCCCCTGCGCGACGCGCGGACGGCGGAAGGGGAGAGGTGGAATGAGGTGGGAAACGGGCTCCGCAACGGTCGTGCGGAGGAGACGACGGGCGGAGAAGGATGGAGGGATGGAGGTACAGGGTGGTTGCACCCCAGGGAAAGGAGCGGTGGTGTGCGGAGGTACGTGCAGCTTCTGGCGCAATGGGCGCTGAGTGAAGGCGAGGGGAATGCTATTGTTATGCTGTGCGCTGGTGAAGCTGTGGTGTGGCTACTGTATGTACACATCACTCACTCCTTGTCACATCACTCACTCCAGCCAGAACGCTGTGAGAATTGACCAGTGAAAGTACACTTCATTGTCCATTTGCTGAAGCATACAAGTTTTGCTGCCTAATCGGTCAATCATGAAAAGCACAAAGATTTACAGATGAAGCACAGGGCACATCTACCCAACTGGGGCACTAAACCGCTGTTCTATTCCCAAATCACAGAAAAAGAGGCAGGTAGTAGTGTGGGCTGAAGCACACACTGCAGCCTCACACTAGCAACCCCAATGCCGAATGATCCATTGTGCTTGGTGGGGTGCTGCTGCAAGCACACAGCTTTGAGAGCTGCATTGCTGCCATGCACCACCACCCAATGACTGCATTGAAAATGACTTGTGAGTCTGCTTTACAAGTGCGCGCTGGAGAGTGAGTACCGGTACGGTATTAGATGGCGAGGCAGATAGAAGACTGTACAATGGCACACACACACACACAGCATGCAGTACGCTTAGAGTGCTGCGGAGCACGAGGTGACAGGCGGGTGTGAGGGATAGGTAGGCGCAGCAACAGCGCAGCCCAGCGTGAGCAGAGCAGCATGCAGTAACACGTGACCACTGGTACGGGCAGTGCGGGTGTAGCACCCAGCCTCACATTGTGGCAACAGCACGATGGGCCGGTGGCATGATCAATCCAGGAACAGTACCAACACGTGGCATGTGAGTAACACACGTACCCAACAGTAGCACAGCCAGGCAGCCCCACAGAGCCCGCACACCCCGGCATCAACTCACAGCATGCTGCACACCGCAACGCATCACATCACTTGGCGCAACAGCAACCACACCGCACCACACATCCTGCAACCGGCATCACCAATCACTCCCACAACGCCCTCACAGCCCCCAGCCCTGGTCCAGGAACTGGCCAACACCCCCCAGAAGCAGCACAGCGAGGTCTGAGAGTGAGGCGAGCACCACCTCCCAGAGACACAGGTCCAGCGCCAGCACCACCGACAGCAGCAGCAGCGCTGCCGTCTGCTGCCGCGTCATCGGCCACCCTGTCGCGCCCGCTAGATGGCCCAGGAGCTTGTCTAGCAGCGCGTGTGCTTGCTCGGAGAGGTGTGTGAGGTGTGGGGAGCGGAAGGTGGGGATGGAGGAGGGCGACGTGGGTGGTGTTGTTGTTGTTGGGTGGGCAGAGCTGAACATGGTGGGGTTTGCGAGGGATGGCGAGGTGCGACGTGAGGCAGGGCGGGGCAGCGCGGGCAGACCGGGTGGAGAGGCCGCTGCAGCGGACGAACCAGCTGCTGCTGCTGCGCTTGCAGCAGTAGAGGCAGCAGAAACGGAATCCACGTCGGAAGGCAGCACAGCAGAGGAGGCAGGAGGAGGAGGAGGTGCAGGCAGAGGAGCGAAGGCAGGAGTGGGGATGGACCAGGCAGTGCGCCAGGACAAGTCACTCGGTTCCAAACCGAGCTCAGTGGTGAGGCGCAGGTGCATGTCCGGCAGGTGCCCACTGCCGTAGAACACTGCAATGCGCCTGCTGCCCGCCTTGAGCGCCTCGTGCACCTCCTGCATGCACGCACGGTTGCGCTCGCCTATGATCACTGATGATGCCATCACGCCCGCTGCCCCGTCCAACGTGCTGAAAAAGGGCGGGGCCAGGGGTAAAGGGGGTAGAGAGTGAGTGGGGGGGAAGGAGAGGGGGGAAGCAGCAGAGTGCAGGTGAGGTGATTTTGGTAGCGGGTGGTGTGTTTCGTCGCAATGCTGCGGATTATTTGTGGACAAGCGGATGGCATGCCAGCCATAGCCATCCCACCCCCCTCTTAGTACTGCAATGGCACCACCCTCTCACAAAGGGAATCACACATCCCAACGTCTCACCCCCCCACACACTCACTCCCTGCAACCCTCCATTCACCCTTCCCCACCATCACTCCCACTTCTTTTCCCCCACCCGTCCCTCATCTCCCCATCCCCCTCCCATCCCACCACGCACTCGAGTGTAATCTGCCTCGCAAGCACCACTTTAAGAGCAGAAGACAGGTCGAGGTTCAGCAAGGCCTGGAACTCAGCGCCCTTCACCAGCGCACTGCTGCCAGGGCCCTCAGGCGCACACACGCCCTCAATCACCAGCAGCCCCACCAGCGGCATCGGGACAAAGCGCGCCGCCCAGAGGAGCGTGCGGCGCAGCGGGCCGAGGTTGGCCGCGAGGGGGCGCGCAGCGGTGGCGCGGACGATGGCCTTGGTGGAGCGCAGGGCTACCTCGCGCGCGAATGATAGCATGCTCTCGCCCCGCTCCTCCTGCTCGGAGAAGGAGCATGGGGGATAGGGGCGTAGGTCGGGAGAGATGAGGTGAGTTGGTGGGAAGGAGAGTAGGTGGCGGTGAGTTGCTACGAGGTGGTATGAGAAGCAAAGGGGTGATGTTAAGAGTGGGGGGTAGAGAAGATCCGCACAGCTCGCAGAGACCACGGCAGGTGTGATGGTCAAAAGAAAGCCAGGGGAAGTGGGGGGAGGGAAGGGAGACAAGCAAGCTGGCCTGGCCACGAGAAGAAAGACAGCATGACTTGTGGGAAGGTGCACTGTGATGGACAGCTTGTAATTGGTGGGAGGTGGCGGTGGCAGCGGAGAATGAGGGGGGGATGGGTATGCAAGCAGGCAGGTAGGCAGGGAGTGGCTGACGGGGCGAGAGGGGGAATCGTCACGGGGAGAAGCGAGAGTGTAGGCAAGGAAGATAGGAAGTGGGCGAGCGGGCGAATGGGAGAGCGGGGGAAGGGGAGAGCAGGCGAAGGGGGGAGAGAGAGGGCGAAAGGGGGAGAGGGAGCAGGCGAGGGGGGAAGAGAGCAGGCGAGGGGGGAAGAGAGCAGGCGAGGGGGGAAGAGAGCAGGCGAGGGGGGAAGAGAGCAGGCGAGGGGGGAAGAGAGTAGGCGAGGGGGGAAGAGAGCAGGCGAGGGGGAGAGCGCAGGTGAGAGCGGGCATGCCTGGAGTTGGAGGAAGGTGGCGAGGTCGAGGTCAGCATGGTAGAAGTTGGCGCGGCGGTAGTCCACGTGGTCCAGCTGGAACGACAGCCGTAACATGCGCGCCATGCCGCTCTGTATCGCCCCCACCACCCCCCGCCGCCTGCCGTACCGCGTCGGGGTAGGGGGAGGGGGGGAGGTGGGGGAAGGGGACGGAGGAGTGCGGGACGGGGAGGGTAGTATGGACGAGGGAAAGAAGAAATGTTTGCTTTGGAAGAGGTGGAGAAGCGAGGAGAGAGCAAAAAGGGGGGGGGGGGAGGGGGGGGGGGGGAGCGCGCGCAGTAAGGGAGAAGCAACAAGGCAGGAGCGGGTGCAGGAATTGGGGTATGGTGGTGCAGGGTGTGCGGAGCAGAATGAGGAGGCAGGGAGCGGGTGGAGTAGGAATGAAGCGACTTCGGCTAGTGGCTACCCCTTAGACCCTACACACACGTCGCCACCACCCATCATTCCTCGCACGCATTGCAACGCATCGCGCCCCTAATCAACCCTTCAGCCACCTTCCCTCGCAGAAGCAATTGGTTCCCCGTCCCCAGTCCCCAGTTCCCCATCCCCTGACCTGACCCTTCTTCCCCCCGTTCCCCGTGCCGGCGCCCACCCCCGCATCGCGGCGCGCACCTGCGCTTGGGGTTGCGCTTGGGCGGCATCCAGCGGTCGCTCTCCTTGCGCCCCACGAACCGCCGCCATCTGCTGTCCCGTCGCTGCTCCTCGCCGTCCGCGTCGCCGCCCGCGGGTTTGGCAGAGGCGGCGGAAGCGGAAGCGCGCTGTTTATCGGCGACCATCTCGTAGAGCACGCGGTCGTACGTCGCTAGCTCCGCCTGTAACGCGTCGTAGTACCTGCGCGCGGGGGATGGGGGAAGGGGGAATGGGGAGGGGGAAGGGACGAGGGGGACAGGTGAAGGGGGAAGGGAAAAGGGGCGAGGGGGAAAGGGGGAGGAGGAAAGGGGAAGAGGGAAAGGATGGGGGAAAGGGGAAGATGCAACGGGGGGGAGAGGGGGAAAGGGGGAGGGGAGGGGGGGGGGGGAGGAGGGGAGGAAAGGTTGAATGGGAGAAATGCGGACGGCGTAAGACCGAGAGGAGCAGCAGAGGGAGGATTGAGAGACAAGCGTGGCATCGAGCAACAACAGTGCGGCAAAGGACGGAAAGGTGGCGAGGGTGCGCGTGGGAGCGTCGGGGGGCGTGGGGTCGGGGCCATCGGGGGAACGGGGGGTCCGGCGGGGAAAGGGAGTGTGGCGCGGCTTACTCTTGATCAGCGATGTGCACCACGGAGACCAGATCCACCTAATGCCACGCACACATGCACGCACGCACGCGCACAAACATACATCCATGCACACGCACATGCGCATCCCCATGCCCACACCCACCCCTCATGCCCCGCACACACGCCGAAAACGCAAACAGGCACGCGCAGAAACATACACGAAAGTCGATTGAAAGGTGAGGCTTGAGCGCCGCAATGGGTCGCTAGCAGGTCGTCTGAGCGTGCACATCGAGACGCGCATTAAGCTTTTAACGGTTACAACGGCTGCGTGCGCTGAGAGCAGCAGCGAACAGCGAATGCGCTTCTGACCAGCGGCGTACTTAATGCCAGTTAATCATCCAGGCGTTATGCGCGCTTTCCACTCTCCTCCATCGTTTCCATCTCCCTTCTTCGTCTCCCCCTCCCCCTGCCCTCTACTCCCCTCACCTCCCCCTCCCCCCGCCTGACTCATCACCGCCTCCACCATTTCACTGTCATCCGCCCTTACCTCTCTCCCCTTGCCTTCCCTCTCCATCTCCGCCGCCTCACCTGCACGGGCGGTCGCAGCGCGTTCCACCAGCGGGCGGGGCGGCGGTACGACAGCACGGCGGTCTGCAGCTCCACGCGCTGCGACGCCGCGTCCTCGTGCAGCCGCAGGAAGTCCGCGATCGAGCTGCCCATCTCGCCGCGCACCGCCGACCCTTCCCCCTCTTCACCCCCCGACCTTTCCCCGTCTCTCTCCCTCTGGGCCGCAATCCCGCCTGTCCCCTCCGGCGCAGTCCCGCCGGTGTTCTCTGCCCCGATCGGACTTTCCGCAGGCGGCGCGCGCCATCCGCTGAAAATGCCTGCGCGCGAGACGTTTCGTCGTTGCCGCCTGTTCCGGCTGCCTGCGCGCGAGCTCGCGCCGGAGAACTCGTTGGTAGCTACGGGGTGCGTAGGGGAAAGGCGGCAGGCTACTGGCGAAACGATGACGCGCGCGGGCTTGGCGCGGGCGGAGCGGAGAGGAGCTGGCGAAGAGCGGGGCGTGCGGGGATGGAAAATCGGTGACTGGGAAGATGCGAATGCGTGTGGCGGGCGGGACACTAAAAGTGACGATGAGCGTGACGCCATTCGGGACGGACGGAAGGGAGGAAAAACGGGAACGATTGGGGTGGGAGACGATGGCGGCACGACGACTGGCCCTGAAGATGGAATGGTGCTGTGAAGGAATTTGCAAAAGTGTCGCTTGGTTGGTGATTAAGTAAATGCGGCCATGCGAGGACAAGCATAGTCGAACGAACAGCAGCTGTGTTGCAGTTTATTGCGCGGCTCGAGAAAAGAGGACGTGAACAGGCGGGGTGGGTGGTGGTGGTGGGAGGTATTGTAGGAGAGGAGAGAGCAGGTGGGGATTGGGTTGGCGCGGGTAACGGAGGAGCGACGGGACGGAAGGGATGATTCAACCTGCTCTGCATGATGGTGTTGGATGAATCCGATCTGAACCGATCAGTCGCCGATATGTTCTCGTGCAGTGACAGATGTGGAACGCTTATTTGGTGAACTTGTGTGGGACAACTGGATTTCCAGCTCCCTCCAGTGAAGGACCAGAAAAAGTTGTGAGGACTGGGAGCATGCCACGTCAAATACCGCCAATGGGTTCAGCCCATGTGAAGGCAACACGTGTGACGTAAAAAATCCTCCCCACAACTGTCTCCACATCCAGACACACGCAAGTATACATTTCTCATTGGTGTAAATAAAGAACAGTTGCATACATATTTAATGTTAGTCCCCTCACCCTAAATTCCCTCAGGAATACGGTTGTTGAGTCAGCTAAGTCCAGGATGAAACACGGATCAAGCTTTCAGCAGAAAAATACTTGCTAGATAACCCCCCTGGTTATAAACCCTTCTTACGGTAATTTCATTCTGTTAATAATTGAATGTTTTATAAAAGGCAAAAAAAAACAAGACTCGACGTTCAACGTCGTATGGGTTGCGTAGGTGCAAAATACGCGATATAGGCAAAAAAAAAGACTAATGTTCGTGTGTCCCCCATCTACAATTGTTTCGTCGCATACATAATGTTTTTTTGTCTGTATGTTACGAATAATGATTAATAAAAACCATTCGATCTTAACTGGATGATTGTATACAATAATGGTAGTAGTAATATTAATACTATTTGTCATAATACTGATAAGTTTCTGATTATGTGCAACTACTTGTAGTGCGATAAGCGTTCCTAGTACTGTAGGAAACACAAACAAAACGTGATTCAGCTTTAGAAGCAGAAAGAGAGATTGCACTAGCTAGCAGTTGAGTACATATGGGAAACCCTAGATTGGGCTGTACTCGCTATAGAGTACCCCACTGCAGGCTAGACAAATACAACATTCTGACACACCCCCATAGCCAAAGTGGGGTGTAATCAGCAGAGCACGCAGTCATAGAGCAGGTTCACAATTGCAAGCAAAGCTAAAGGCTATCACAGTGTTAATTGATATTGCATATCTTATACCTGCCTATAGCTTGCTAGTGTATTAGTTTAGTTATTACCATCAACTGCTGGTGGTGTACCCTCTTCTTCTCTCTTCCTTCTCCTATATCTTGTACTCTTGCCTAATATCAAAGTCCTCCTTTTGGCCAAACTCCTCCCTCCATGATTCTCCTTGCTAAGCCTCTCCAAAACCCTAGCTTCTAGTTAACTCGTTCTTCAACACACAGAGGGCAAGTGAGGAGGAGGAGAGACTGTTGGGGCGAGAAGATGGAAGGCGACTGCTGAAGCTGCAGACACACAGGAGCTGCTGGCTCAGTGGCTACCGAAGCAAAGGCCCGGACTACAGGAGTAACTGGCTCTGCGGAGATTGTAGCCTCCTGACTGGAGCAACTGACCCACAGGCGACTGGCGATTACCGGAGATTGTAGCCTCCGGACTACTGGCGCTGCTGACGACACGACGGCTGCCTCCACTCAACCCCCCCCAGCTGCCCCACGCCCCTATCACACACCCCCTGCTGCACCCCTAGTTCCACTCCCACGACACCCCCCTAGCACCACTCCTTCGTCTCCCACACACCCACCCCCCTGAGCGGCAGCTGCAGCAGCGGGAGACGGAGGAGGAGGAGGAGTAGGGGACGGCGCACACAACCGGCACCCCCACAACCGCCACCCCCACACTCCCCACCCCCAAACCCTAAAACGGGTGGCAGGGGGTAGGAGCGCGGGGGACGGCGAGGGGGACGTCGCGCGGCCCCCAGGGCGCCACCACGGGGCAGCGAGGGGCCGCGCGCGACACCAGAGCGCCGCGACGCGACGGCAGGGGCCGCGCACGCCTTGCCCGGGCGCCGCGACAGGACGGCAGGGGCCGCGCGCGACACCCTAGGGCGTCGCAACGGACGGGCGGGGGGCGCGCGCGGCTCCCTAGGGCGCCGCGACGAAACAGCGGGGGCGGCGCGCCAGGAAGGAAAGGGGCCGTGCGCCCCGGGGCGCGCGCGCGGCGGGATGAAAAATAGGTCGCACGCCACGGGGCGTGCGACAGATCAAGTAGCAGCGGAAGCAGGTTGGTGGGCCCACAGGCCAAGGAAGGACACGCTCTGATAGCATGTCAGAAGAACGAGGAAAAGTTTAGAAGCAGAAAGAGAGATTGCACTAGCAAGCAGTTGAGTACATATAGGAAACCCTAAATTGGGCTGTACTCGCTATAGAGTACCCTACTGCAGGCTAGACAAATACAACATTCTGACACACACATCCCAAGAAACTAAAACATTCCAGCAGGTACCTCAGCTTTCTTACCATCTCACCCCACACTTTCTTGCCATCTCACGATAGCTCTAGTCACCAGGAACTGGCCTTGTGCCCGTGACAAATACCCGGCGCCCGTGATAAACGCCCGTGACAAGCGACCATGACAAGCGCCCGTGATAAACGACACGTTCGTGAGTACATTAGTGATATCCTCCCTGCTGTGGCAGCGCGCTGGCAGCTTGCGTGCTGACGCCTTGCTGCAGCAGCGCGCTGGTGGCTTGCGCGTCGGCGCCTTGCTGCTTCAGCGCGCTAGCGCATGATGCGGCAACGCGCTGGCGCCTTTCTGCAGCGCGCCGGCACCTAGCACGCAAGCCGCCAGAGAGCTGCTAAGCGGGCGCCGTTATGGTAGCGCGCTAGCGCCTTTCTGCATCGCCGTAGGCACCTCGCAGCGCGCTGCCGCCTTGCTGCGGTAGTGCTTAACGCGCTGGCGCCTAACGCGCCGGTGCTTTGCGCGCTGGCGCCTAACGCGCTGGCGCCTAACGCGCTGGCGCCTAACGCGCTGGCGACTAACGCGCTGGCGCCTAGCGCGCTGGCGCCTTGCGCACTGGCGCCTTGCGCGCTGGCGCCTAGCGTGCTGGCGCCTTGCGCGCTGGCCCCTTGCGCGCTGGCGCCTAGCGCGCTGGCGCCTAACGCGCTGGCGCCTAGCGCGCTGGCGCCTTGCGCGCTGGCGCCTTGCGCTCTGGCGCCTTGTGAGCTGGCCCCTTGCACGCTGGTGCCTTGCGCGCTGGTGCCAAGCGCGTTGGCGACTAACGCGCCAGCGCTTGCTGCGTTGGCGCCTAGCGCGCTGGCACCTAACGGCGCTTGAGCCATGTGCGTTGGCGCCTAGAGTGCTTGCGCATTGAGCGTCAGGGCTTATGGCATTGGTGAGTTTGCCTTAGGCCTTTTGGGCACGCTTTAGTCGTTGGTGCTAAGCGCGTTGGCTTCAGGACGCTCACGCCTTAGGTGCTGGCGCGTTGGGCACATTGGTGCTTATGGGCGTTGACCTTCTAGGGCACTGATGGAAGTAGCGCCATGGGCGTTTCGGTGATTGGGTCTGGCCTTTGGAGTTGGCGCGTTTGTACTTGGTTGGAACTCTGAGTGTGGTTTTGGTGGCAATTTACCTCTACACTTTCTGCTCTCTTTCCTCTCTTTCCATTTCGTGCATGCTGATGTGGTACGCGTGATGCCTTGGAATCTAAATCTAAACCACGTCAAATTGGATTTCTTGCATTTTTTTTATCAGCACTTTCCATCATGCCTGCTGCAGCGCGATGATGCCTTTCTGCAGTGTGGTGGCGCCTTGCTGCAGTCGCGCCTTACTTTTAATTCGCTGCATTCGCTCACAGGGATATATTGTTTGCGTGACCTGTTTGTTTTGCAGGGCATACGAGCCCCATTGTGGGGAGCAGAAAAGGGAAAGCGGGGCAAAGATGTGGAGAACACGGGGATAGGATGTTGGGAAGGGGGAGACTGGAATGGGGGGCAAGATAGATGTGATTGTTACGTGTAACTTCTTGCAACTCTTTGCTATGCTTGTTTGCTCTCTGTCCTCGTTGTGTGTATGTGTATATACATGTGTGTCCGTGCGTGTGTGTATGTGCGCGTGGTGTGTGTGTGTGTGTGTGTGTGTGTGTTGAACATGTTATTCATGTCAGTTGGTTGTGATTGCTTCACTGTGAGGTGCTGGTATGCATCGTGTTTGCAATTGAGGTTGTCATCGTCGTTGGGGCAGTGTGTTTTCACTGTTTCAACGACCCCATCAATCTCAGTTGCAACATTGGTGCATATTGAGCATCCACTTTGATGCGTTTTCAATCTTTACGTGATGTTGTGCATTTTTGTGTGTGCATTTCGTAGTTGTGGTGTGTGTGTTTCAAGGTGTGATGTTACAATGCATCGTGTATGCAATTAGGGGTTGTCATCGTCGTTGGGGCAGCGTGTCTTCGCTGTTTCAACGACCCCATCAATCTCTGTTGCTGCATTGATACATTCTAACATTCACCTTGAAGCATTCACACTACACTTCATACCTTGTTCATTAATATAGTTGTGTTAATTCATGTTGATGCCATGTTCGATCGTACCATCCGCCGTATTAATCGACGAGCTGGGATGGTCGGAATAAATTCATGGCTTTTGGTTCCACATTTAGGATATCTTATTCAAGGGTGGTGTATCCACTTTTTGAGGCATTCTATTGGACACGGTTTTAAAACATTGTTCAAACGGGTGCTTTAAAGAGTGCTTAAAAATCACCCTTGAAATGATATCCCCAAAATGTGAAACCAAATATATAGGGTTGCTACGCAACCCAAAAAAACCTAGCCCATGGAGTTTTTCAAATGTTTTTTAGCATGTTCTTGTGTTTTTTACACTGTACGCAAATGATTGTGCATCGAGATTGAGACAACGCAAGATGTAAAGGACAAAGAAAAGGAGGTGGGACACGACAAGGAAGAGTACGAAGGAAAAGGGAGTGGAGTCTAGGAATAGGAGATGGGGGACAAGCCAACAGGGAACGATAGAAGTAGGGAGTAGAGGGAAGAGATGGAGGAGGCAACAAAGGAGACATCAGAGGAAAATACTGTAAAATATATCTCAAATATTTGATATAATTGTTGTTTTTTTTTTTTAATGAAAGTAGCACAATAATAATCGTAACTGTAGCTGATGGGCCTAGGCTAAACGGGGTAGCCGTACCCATCTTGCGCTTCTAAGGGGGGTTGCGGATTGTCCTAGGGTTGTTCCAGATGTATGCAAAGCCTTTCGACCATGACAGCGTGGCGACTGATGTGTCCCTGATTCTGCTCAGCATGAGCTGTTCCTCCTCATCCAGCCTGTCAAGCACCTTCCTCCGTTTGTCGCCTTTCCAGGACGTCCAAAATTTCGTGCGAGCCTTAACCCTTGCGTAGACCCTCGCGTGTAGATGAAACGCAGCAGCAATTCTTCTTAGCACCCGCCGGGTCTTAAACTTGCCTCGTTAAAAAACCGCGTCACACCTCTCCACCCAGATTTTATGCAGCGTGATGACTATAAGGGGGGCCTCCGGAAAACCAGACTGTGTACCCTCCTTTTGAAATAGCAGATCCCCGAGTGACCCAACTTTTTTTCCCGGGTTCAGCATGTCTAGGGCCTACATCAGACCCCGAATCACCGGTTGTATGACTGGGCAGCTGTACAAACAGTGCTCCAGAGTTTCCGCCCCTCCAGAGTGGGGGCAGCCCGCCCAACTGCCAAGAAACGAGATTCTCTCCCCCAATTGCAGGTTACGACAGTGAGCCCGCAACAGCACGTCCCTAGCCCGATGTCGCAAGGCAGCAGAATCTCGGATTGCAACGACCCGCTTCCAGTCGATGCTGCTTCCCCATGCAGCCTCCCAGACCTCCCTCTGCTTCGGTTTTCCCTTCCCTGTGCGGAAAGCACCACACAGCTTTTTGAAGGGCGCCAGCTGCCCGCCAACGAACATTGATGAGCAGCGAAGGCGGGTTTCTGCGTGCCCCAACGGTGTTATAGTCACAATAGGCTTGAATGTGCCTAAAACGAAAGATAGAGAGCACAGACGGATTTCTGCACAGCGGCTTCAAACGTTGATAGCGTTCTGCTCACAGCTGCAAATGACTTGATTCAAATTGGATCTGGAGCGTCTTCACGTCGTCTACAATTATCAATTTAGATTGCACGATTTGATAAAGAATTGACGACACAGCGTCGGTTTGAACGAACGGTACTATGGCAGCCACTATAGTCTTAGAACACAAGATAGGAAGAGTTACGAGTTGGGAATGACTCCCAGCTCCTACAAACCCCAAGAGCCAAGGTACAGTGATGTGGAACAGTGCCACACTGTCCCCAACCACGAAGGGTCTCGAAACTACCCTTCACTAGGGCCTACACCAAATGAAATGTTACACTACACAAAGTAATGTAACTATCTTCAATATCTTGAGGTGTACCCTTTTGGCAAGCTTCGAAATCACTTGAGGCTTGACACCAAGGCTCGGGCTCTTCATCACAAACTCATCCTTGAGTTCTTGATGGGTCTGCTGCACACACCTGCGACACGCCGAACGTTCGACACAGGACAAAATAGAAACCGCGCACGACAAAATAGAAACCGCGCGCGAGACACAAACGACCGCGTAACACGCGTCTAGCGATAACTCGCTATTGACTCGACACACACACTCGACATCATGACTCAACATTCACACACAATTATAAGCATGAAATATATATTATCCCATGCCCTCATACCATTCCATACACACACACATTCACGCACACGGACAACAAGCCGAGTGCAAACCGTAGGGTTGCACCAACAAACTCCCCCTCGGATTGTTGGCCTTAGGATATGTTGCTCTCTCAGTTCAGAGCCATCCCAGCCAGCTTGCAACACTTCCAATGCTGCTGCTCCACCAGCCTCTTGGTCATCATGTCAGCCGGCTGCCCCGTGGTCTTCACGTAGCGCAACTCAACTTCACCCGCGGTTACCATGCTCCTCGTCCAATGCCACTTCACCCTCATGTGCTTCGTGAGTCCATGCAACACAGGGTTCTTAGCAAGAGCAATGGCACCCTGGCTGTCACAGTACAGTGGGGTAGGTCCTTGCTGCTCCTCCCCCAATTCAGCCAACAAACGCCGCTGCCACACAATCTCCCGTACGGCACGGAAGAGTGCCATGTACTCGGACTCCACCGAGCTCAAAGCTTGGTCAACCTGCTTCTTGCTCTCCCAAGCAGTTGGGCCTCCACCAACACAGCATATGAAGCCTCCCACACTTGTCATGTCCTCTGGTTCTGATGCATATGAAGCATCCGAGTAGGCGGTGAGGAACAAACGCCCGGGTTCAACACCATCCGCGCCCTTTTGGCGCCTTTGTGCCGCCGCCGAGTATTGCAGCCCAACGGTCGGTGTTTGGCCAAGATACTTGGCCACCCTCATTCCAGCTGCTACCTGCTCCTCATTAGGGCATTGCACAACCCTAGCCAGCTGCCCGGTAGCAAACGCGACGTCCGGTCGGGTGTTTACCGCCGCATACATGAGGCTGCCCACCAACGAGTGAAATCGGCGCCTCTCCTCTTCACCAACGCTCTCCTACTCTGGTCCCTTCACACACTTGAACCCAGAGGGAAAGGGTGTAGCCACATGGCCTTCACTCTGCCCAAAGTTGGCATCCAATGCCTCCAGGTACTTTCGTTGATGCACCCGCATGCACCGCTTCTCCACATCTCGTTCGATGTGGAGCCCAAGGTAGAAGCTCACGTCACCAAGGGCCTTGCACTTGAACTTGTCTTGAAGCTTCAGCATCACCTCCTTCACAAGGTCAGAAGAGGGTGAGAAAATGAGGATGTCATCCACATAAACTACCATGAAACTCCTCTGCTCCCCCTCGCCAAGCATGAACAAGGAGTGATCGGCCGTTGAGGGAGTGAAGCCGATCCCCTCCAACACTTCGCGCAGCTTCATGTACCATTGCCTAGGGGCCTGCTTCAGCCCATAGAGGGCCTTCTTCAGCTTCCACACTCTGCCACTACCATCATCAAACCCCTCTGGCTGCGCCATAAAAATCTCCTCCTCAAGGATGCCGTTAAGGAATGCCGTTACGATGTCCATTTGCTTTACTACCCATCCTTTGATGGCGGCTCCCGCGAATAGGGTTCGCAGCGTCGTCGGCTTCACCACAGGGGCAAACAGCTCCTTGAAGTCCACCTTCTCCTTCTGCTGGTACCCCTTGGCTACAAGCCTAGACTTGTAGCGCTCGATCTTGCCGTCGGCATCCGACTTGATTTTGAAGAGCCACTTGGACGTTATCGCCGTACGCCCCTCCG